CGAAAATATGAGAGGTTGTAGGTGCTGTCATATTGACCTTTGAAGGATCCGTAGTCGAGGGAAACTTGAGGGTTGTCCCATGTAGTGCTGGTTGTGACCCCAAGGCCGAGAAGGGTGACAATCAGATCTGAGAACCTCATCTTCGGGTTTCAGCGGGTTTTCGTCTTAGGGTTATTGTTTCATTCATATGTTGTGTTCAACCTGGCAAGCCCCAGGCCATATATAGCCTTTCCGTACGCAATTAGAAAGCATCACACCCATTTGACGAGAGAAATCGCATTCGGTACAGGAAACCCCGAGCTTCTCTGTGTAGCTTTCAAGCAAATTGGTCATTATCAAGCAGACATTCTCAGGCTTGGCTACGAGAGCAGCTCATTGGTGCAGTTATTGTTGATGCCCGGGGCGAAATGCGGGGGATTTCTGCAGTGGTTGTCAATTCGGATTCGATCACCCCGATAGATCGTAGGCCGTATAGTCAGAACGAACCATAGTTAGCTGGAAAATCCCCAGAACACCTAGTTATATTTATATATTCAACATGTCCACACTTAATGTGTCGAAAAGTAGCTGTCAAGGGAGTCCCCGTGCGAACAAAGCCCAAGTAAACACTGTGCCCTCCGGATTCCAACCCTAAAAATGCATCCTTGCAAGAAATACAAACTCCAGATCCAATTTCCATGCAATATGCCAGTTAAAACAAGTATTATCACAAATGCCAATTCTGCTAAACCAAAACTCCGTCCTTGTCGTCTTGTCTCGTAGATCAAACAGGGCTCAAGGGCTGTACTGTTTACATAGTCATACGAAGTTCTCTAGTGCGACGCCGACTTGCCCGAGCATCACGGCGAGACTCAGCTGCATCACTAGTCTCCGTTTCCGGGGTGTTTGTGTCGGACAGCTCGGGCGTTGGGGTGATCCCAAAACTAACGCCACGGTCTCGACGACAGATACGTGATTGTGCATCGGGGGACAAGAACCGATGGACGGTGCGGTGGTCCATTACTCGGTCTTCCCCGTCCGGGCTTTTGTCCGTTGATGGCCACTGGTATCCGTACAGCTTGGAATGACGTTCGCAGCGCGGACATTCACGTCGCGTGAGGTATGAGTTTGACTGGAGGAACCAAGTATCACAGGTCTGGCACTCCACCCAGCGGTCATACTTCTGGGCAAGCAATCGTGATGTCTTGGTATAGTCTCCAGGGAATCGGGCAACTTGCGACTCTGTCTCGACGGAGTCTACGATGAATCGCCGTTTGGTGCGAGGCTTTCGCGTCTTGGGCTTAACGGCATGGGCGTCGTCTAATTTGGTGGAATTTGATAAGTCTGACAATCCTTCTTCGGGGTCAATGTCCATGGGGTTGGTGGTGACGAGCTGACCTTCAAAAGAGGCATCAGGATGATCCTCACCGTTGAGTTCTTTCGACTCAGACGGTTCCACTGTAGTTTCTTCTGTCTTGACCTTGGTTCCCAAGTCGTCCTCAGTTGTGGGGGTAGTAGAGGTCGACGACCGGTGGGATTCATCGGCAGTAGAGTCTGGAGATTCGCAGTCCGTGGGGATAGTAGAATCAGTGCCATTGGTCCCATTTGGATCGCCTTGGGCAGTCACGCTCGGTTGCCCCGCCCCGGTGGCAATTGGAAGGGAGTTTAGTGAATCGGTTGGCGATGCCACTGCAGTTAGCTCTGTGATTTCTTTCTTCAGCTCGGACCCCTGGGGTACAGTTTCCGCCAGAAGAGCAGTTGGAATCAGTAAAGTATCCGGGATAGGGGTGTTGTCTGAGCCGCGCGTTGGAGCTGATTCCCCGGCAAGTTCAGAAACTGATATCTCTTCTCGCAACTTCGAAACTTGTCGCTGGAACTTTGCACGTTTGCGCGGAGTGGAGCAAGCCAAGGTAGAGGAGCTGTCGGATTCATCAACGTCTGAGCTGTGTCTACGCTTCCTGCTCACATTGCTATCTTCAATCGGTGTAGCTTCAGAAACGGGGCTGGACTCTTTGCTGTTTGGCTCTGTGTCAACATGCGGAGACCAGCCATTCCGTACAGCACTCTCGCAAGTATGACACAGACATTCGCAATTGTCAACGCCAAAGTAGTCCTCTCCGTAGGAAACCGTAATCTCTTCTCCCTCGTGGATGTCGCGCATGGCTAGGACAGACATGCCCTCGTTGCCCCTGGTTGTCAAGCTGCCGTTGGCATCACAGTCATGATTAGCAAAGCGAGCAGGACCCAGAAAGAATGATGGGGCTTTGCGGCGACTCGACATTACAATGCTGAAGTCTTTGCGGGTCAAGCCAAGATCTAACTCTTCTTCATGGGTCATAGACACAAGCGTTCCACTCAAATATTTGATCTCCTCGCCCTTTTTAATGAATCTGCGAGCGCATATAGCAGCCTCATGTTGCGTTATGATGTATCGATTGGTGGTGGTGACCTCGAACGGACAGTCTGGAAGATACATCTGAATGTACTTGCGGAGGTGTCGGCGGAACCACTCCTTCTCTCGGGGGCTACGGAGGTTTGCCATGTATTTCTTCAAGCCTGGTATCTCTAGCAGTCTGCTTTCGGCCGCTGGGATATCCTTATCGACAATAACGTCGTGGAGAAGAATGCGCCCAATATCGTCATCGTGGATTCCGCGGGCAGGGCTGTATTTGGTGCGGTTCTTGCGGGTGGTGGTCCAAAAATAGGCCTATCAATAGCAAGTATCAGTGAAAATGTATATGTTTTGAATTGCAGGAAAAGAACATACGTGATCCACCAGCGCATCAGTTGCGACATCGTCATAGCTGGCCAGTTTCGCCAGTGTCAGGCGCTCGCGACGTTCGGCGGCAGGCGAGCTCTTTCGCGCTCTCTTTGGGGGCATGATGGACGTAACAAGAATCTGAGGACCACTAGAGATCGAAGGGGGAGAAAAGAGGTGGTCTCATAGAATGCACACCGGGTGCAAAGGAAGTTGGGGAACAGTGGAGTGGAGGGCGGAAGTCCGAGGGATGGGGTCGAAAAATGAGTTGAGATGCAAGCGAAGAATTAAAATGAGTGACTGACAATCAACACAAGTAACATTGTGATGTGATTGTCACCATTGAGGCTGTTCCAAGGAGAAAGGCATCCTTCGCAGATGTTTTTAGGGGCGGAACGGACACTCGGGAGTGTGCCAGCTGAGACCTTACCGTCTCTCTACTTTTACTCTTCGTTTCCCCTTGACCTGTTCTTTTTGCTCCAGTAATAACTATTGCATATGAAGTAATTAATTATTGTTAGCTTTTTATCTTTTTATTCCCTCCGAGGTTTGTTGTGACTTGATTTTACGCGCCCAGCTCGCATACAATATGCACCGTGCGTCAAGCCTCCCCATGCCGTATCACCGCGAACCTGTTGAAGTGGAACTACTGTAATTGCACCCAATCAAGATAATGATTGCGATCAAGTGATCGTTCTCTTCCTGTTTTGCACGTAAAATATATTGATACCATCCCTCAATGGGTCTTTGCTGGGGAGGATCCGCAGCCAATGAAGTGCTGGAGAATCTGATAGATCCAAGTATGAACATGGCTCTCTTTCGAAGAATTCTTTAGGAATGACCCGGGGCTTTTCAGAGCCCAATCTTGTCTTGTGTCTACCTCTGGGATACAGAAAAACCAGCCTAACTGGTTAAGTGGGGGAAATAAGAAAATAAAAGGACTGTATAGAGGTGAATCCAGGATGTTTTTGAACTATATATCTGGTTGGGATCAGGATGCCGCGTGGATTGAGTCAGCAAATACCCACATAGGATGTTACTCAAATAGCCAGAATAAACACTCCTTATGTTTACTAGTCTAATAAAAGTGATACCACATAATAGATACACAAAACATATCTGGATATCTTGTGAATAAGCGGCGTTTCATGTGCTAGCTGAGGTCTTACGGCTAATATCGTCAACCGGAGAACCAAGACAAATTTTCAGAAGTAAAAGCAAATAAATAAAAGATTTGTAGCAATTGAGGAACTGCATGAAACCCAATTTCCAAAGAGTCCAAGTTGAAGTCCCATTAGATGTTGTATAGAAAGGCACAACTATGTATCTGATCGGATAAACTGATTATCCGGGAAACCTCCCCGGGGCCGCGAGAACAAATTGCGGACAAGGACTATCTGTAGACCAAGTACCAGAACACAATGATTCAATTAAAGGTGCGCAAGCGGTGCCTCTCACTAGCTCACAAAATACTGACCCTCGCTCCGCCAGACCCTATTAAGTTGCATTGACAACTCCGGCGCCTCGATCGTCGAGTGCGTGAACGTCCTGAAGAAGAAGCGGCCCGCGACAATCGGTCAGTCTCCACGGCCCTCGAACCCAGCATACAATACAGCAATACAGGAATTAGGAACCCAAGCTGACATTCTGATTGGTTATCTAGGTGACAGGATAGTCGTCGTCGTCCAGAAGCAGCGATCTGCAGGCTCCGAAGCCACCACCGCCGCTGCGCTCGCCAGCAAGGTCCGCCGTGGTGATATTCGTCATGCCGTTGTTGTTCGTGTGAAGAAGGAGTTGCAGCGCCCTGATGGGTCCCTTGTCCGGTTTGGTGATAATGCTTGCGTATTGGTCAACAAGTCCGGAGATCCCATTGGGACAAGACTGAACGGTAAGTGCTCTTCGGGGAGTTTACGATGATCGCCATCTCCACGTTTTATATACTGACATCTCGACAGGTGTGGTGGGACAGGAGCTACGGAACAAGAAGTGGTCAAAGATCTTGTCATTGGCGCCGATCCATGTTTAATATTTCACGTTTCTACATTCGTTGGAAAGCGCTCGTTTTTGATTTGATTGGATTTCAATCCATATGTATTCTTAGTATGTAGCATCAGTTTCACCCCCGTTCCGAAATCTCCATGCATTTTCCTCTGTGCCTGCTCCGAAATAATTCGCCAAACTCCGATGATCGCAAAAAACCACAAAAACAAAAAAATTCAAGGGTATCGGAAAGTTGAGACCGCGTCGCAGGAACGTAGAAAGATCACATGTAGACTTGACCGCACGCACAACAGACGTAGTAGAGTTTCTGAGCAAGTGAAGGCATGAGTTAGCGCACGGTTTATATTAGTGGGGGACACGGATCCATCGAAGGATTGGTTCTCACCATGCCGGTTTCGGCGGATCGTTGTTGTGACTGGAAGAAGACGGCTTCGGTTTCGCCGCAGCTTGGACAGAGCTTGTTGGCCCGTGGAAGCTGCAAAATATGGGGGTTAGCCTATGGATGCTCATGAAGTTACAGAGCGGGGGGCGTCTGCCCGGGGCTCGACTTCAGAGGACTCCAGGCTGTCACCCACAGGCGGCGCATCCTCGAGGAGATCCTCGTTGGGGGTGGGACCGCAAATAAAGCAAGTAAGGATGTCACCGCAAAGAGTACAAAAAGCAGGAGCACAAACCGTGGGGTCAGAAGTCACATCCTGAGTAACACCGGCGGTGTCACCGACTTGGCTATGAAGGTGGTTCTGGTAAACACAGTGGGAGGAGGCAGGCTCGCCAACATGGCAGGTACGGCAGGTAAACATCAACTGGTTGTTCACTCGATCCTCCTTGGGGTACAGCAGGTTGGAGCTATCAAAAAGTCAGCAAGATGTCCTCGAGCCGTAAATGTCCACATAGCGACAATTTCAAGTCGGGCGACTTGGAAATTAACTTACCATTCACGGCAAAACTTGAAGTGAATTTGATCCGACGGCTTGGTGTCGCCACCAGTCGTGGAGGAAGGGCTGGCAGACATGCTGCAAAAATGGCTCGAGATATTCTAGATAGACGGTTTGTAGCGGAGTGGGAGAGCAGAGCAGTCTCCGAGAATATCGTCGAAACGGAGACGGTGGATTGGAGAGGGAAAAAGTACAGAGTAGCTTAAGGTATACTTACCTTCATGGTGCCTGTTGGGAAGCGCAAGTCGAATCACGTGCGAAGTCGAATCACGTGCGAAGTCGAATCACGTGCGAGGTCAAATCCGTGCGAGGTCGAATCATGTGCGAGGTCAAATCACGTGCAAGGTTGAAACACGTGGGGGTGGGAATGGAGGTGAGTTGTTTTGAGCTCACTAGGTGATATTCCCTTGAAATTTCATAGGCTGTATGCCTCGTCTCAATTTTAGCTCAATTTTGACAAGAACAACTCCTCAATGAACGCAAATTCAATTATGAACCCACCAATCAAGTCCCTGTCTATTGAGAGCCCCGGGGTATACTACCGTACACATTGATTTATTCCAAGTTCCTACATAAATGAGCACATGGATATCTGCATTTTACTGTAGCTCACATGTATAACTGCGAGTTTAGTATATTTACATTTGCATAAGTAGGAGATAGTCTAGATGGTGATCCCTCAAACTGGAAGCGGAGAGCTGTCATGTTTGTGTAGTTTGCAACTGTTCACCTTCCCCCGCAGTTTCCGTTCACATACAACGATTAGACTAAATCATTTATGATTTTGAATCCGTTGGATATTGATCTGTACATTATTATTTACTCAATTCTCATCTTTTAGATTCAATCTTGGAATATGGTGGGATCAGATTATCCTCAAACCTTGGAAGTTTGCATAGCTGACTCTTGGACCTAGGCCGACACAGGTCTTCCCACCGGTTGGGAAGTTCGTCACTCCAACTCTAAGAATCTCCCATACTATTTCAACCCTTCCACAAAAGAGTCTCGCTGGGAACCACCTACCGAAACCGATACCGAAAAACTCAAACTCTACATGGCGCAAAATCACACCCCGGCTGCTGCTCGCCCTGACGCCTCTGGCGAGGGCGAGGGCAAGATCCGCTGCAGCCATTTGCTCGTGAAGCACCGCGACAGCCGTCGTCCCAGCAGCTGGAAGGAGGCCGACATCACTCGCACAAAGGAGGAGGCTATTGAGATTCTCAAGGGTCACGAACAGCGCATTCAATCTGGAGAGATCACTCTTGGCGACCTGGCAGTCGCTGAGTCCGACTGTAGCAGTGCCCGGAAGAAGGGCGATTTGTGAGTTTCTTTCAGTAACCTAAGTGCCATACGTCTTGCTAACTCCTGAAAGGGGCTTCTTTGGTCGCGGTGAGATGCAAAAGGAGTTTGAAGATGCCGCTTTTGGCTTACAGCCTGGCGAAGTCAGCAGCATCATTGAGACAGCATCCGGAGTTCACCTCATTGAACGGTAGGTTCATTTTTCGAAGTAGAGTTGTCTATGGCTAATCTCAGATCTCTGTCTCCAGTGTCCAATAATCGCATGCTTCCACCATCTCTTGGTCAGTTCCACTGCGAAAAATTCTGATCGCATCAATGCTTTGCAGACCCTAGTCTCACGTCTTGGAATAATCTTTAAAAGAAATAAACTATGAATGGAATGCCATCTTTGTTCTCTGACTTAAAATGTCTTGTCTCGGGCAGGAACAATCGAGTAGCGGAACCTGCAATAGCCTTTCCCTAGAAAGATGCTAATATATTATTTGAAGATGAAGGCTCAAAATGCCCAAATTTTTACGAAAGAAGACTCGGACGGGGCTTGAAACTTTGGATTCAAACCTAAGGATGTGCTTGATATCAAGTCTATGTAACCGACTCTAAATAGACTCTCATGCTAATCACAGCGCGTTTAGGCTTAGTAGTCTCAATCAACCAATGGTTCATTATCGGAAAGGTAAATCGAGAACTAAAATAAGCCGCGAGATTACATCTCAAAATAAGGATATCAAAGGGCATTGAACGCATACAAAACAACAGACGAGACATCTCTCAGGCATACTTTTGTTCTCCCATCTTTCCTCACTCTTTCTTTTCCACCTCCATTTACCACTTCTTTCCCACATACTCTCTTCTCATACGCTCGCCAACAATGAGCAGCGTCACCCTTAAACTCCGCCAGAGGCGGTCCATGATGCGCCTTCTTAACCAAGGCCGCTCGATTCTTGAGTACACCTTCGAACCAAACGCCTTCATCGTTCCCCAGTGGATCCTAGCGCCCCCAGAAGTGCGCGATGCCCTGATTACCCTCCAGTACAAAGCCATGGTAGCCATATATGACATGAAGAGCCTCATGCTCATCCGCGATAACCGATACTTCCAGTTATGCCCCAAAGGCCCGGGCACCATGACCTACCAGCTCCATCAATCTTCCATGAATCGTCTCCTCGAATGGAAGGAAGACTGGAATTTTGCTGACCCGACTCTTGCCGCCGCCGCAAAAATCCCCCGTGACTCTCTCCGATTCTGCGTCGACTCAATCGCCTACGGAAAGTTTACCTATACATACACCCATAAGATTGATGAGTTTATGTCTGGTTCTTTCCAGAGCTGGCGCCAGCTTCGCGCTGAGATCGGACACCTTGCCTATCGTCTCATGAGCCAGAACCCGCATGACTACGAGGAATGGCGTGTCTGGTGGGAAGGCAAATTTGCTGATGATATGTGGAAATGGGAGGTTTGCCTTGAGTGTCTGATTCTACCTACCTGGGAGGAGATCATCGACGATCTTTATCTGATGATCCACGATCGAGTCGAGAATGCTCAAGATCTGGCCAACTCGTTCTACATCAGCAGCCCAGTGTTGGCTTCGTCGACTTGACTTGGCTCTGCCTGCCTGAGCTTTGACTTTCTGCAATTACGATTCAATGAATATGACAGCAACTACGATGACAATGTGACTTGGGATTTGGGTTTGATTTTCGGCGCTGGGACAGAGCAGCCTGATGGGAATGAGGGCACATGGAAATAACAGGAGTTTTGATTTTGATTTCTTTTTGATATTTGTTTCTTCTGAAATGCAGCGAATTACAAACTATGCACTCTATAACTTATCGTAATAGTTGAGGGCGAATGCAATTCGACCCGAATGAACGACTATAGTGGAGGACTCGGTTCCACAACACACTTGTTTTCCGGCCTTCTAGAGATTATCAGAAGCTACTCAGACCGTAATCACCTTATCATCTGATATGTAATTGCCCAATGAAAGGGAAGTAAAACATTGATTTACCTGAATGATCACGTGTGTGTTCGAACCCTACATATCGACAGTAGCCGCCCTGGAGGAGAACAAAGAGAGCTACTCAGGTATCTTGTCATTGTTTGTCTTCCGTAGAAAGAATAGACAAAGAAGATTAAACCAGTAAAGCAGATAAACAAAGAAGCCCAAGTAAAGAACCCCCAGAAATGGAAAGAAGGAGAGATCAACTAAGCCCGAAGGGACACATGGTCTTTGTGCAATCTAATTATTCTATGACCATAGCTTCAATAAAACTTGCAAGTGAGACTATAGGATATAGGCAGGGTCTCTAATCCATACTCTTCACTAAGCTCTGTCACCTATCAAGGTACCAACCCAGCGGAATCTGAGATTCCCCATCCCCCAATATGTGCATCTACTGGACATGCAAGTACACACTGTGCGGCTGTATATGGGACATGGATCCATCGAAATGCCGAGACAAGCGGCTCTGCTGGGGTCGAAGAATGATAACACTCGAATCCCACACAGCGACATGCGGAGACTGTTGGGCGAGAGGGGACAAGCGTGTCTACGAACAACAAGCATGTGACGAAGGTGACGGACATGGGGAGGTATCTAAAGGGGCGATATTAGATTGCGAAAGCGACGCAGATGGGAGCGCCAATACTTCCGACGATGAAGACTACTTTTCAGCTGATGAGTTCCTGGCGCCATCTCCATATTCGCGACCTGCGACCCCGCCACTATACTATGAGCAACATTCAGCAATGTATCCCGTATCTGAGGATAACGATTTCGATTTGACTAGGGCCTGTGACCCGGTGGATCTTGCGTCGATGGGGAGGGACTATCGAGCAAGGCGTCACAGGGCGGCCCCATCCGAGTACTCGTCGGATGGAACAGATTATTTTGTTTCTTGTGAAGAGTACCCCGATGAAGAATCTCCCGACGAGGAGAAGTTCAACGGTGAGAACGATGAAGATGATCTCTACAATAGTATTGTGGTTCCCCCTGGTAGGCCTAAAGGCCTGATCAAAAGCTTGGAAGATCGATCATTGAGGTTATATGGCTCAGTGCAGGAGTACTACCCAACAGCAGAGTAGGAGAGACATGAGGGGCGGACTGGAAGATGGATGTCATCAAATGTATTAGTTCGTTGTAGACTGCACCATCTTTTTAAAAGTCTTTTGTGTTAGTGTAATTCATTTATTATTTCGTGATCATTTCAGTAGAAGCATCGGGATTATTGTGTAGATGGAAACAAGATGAAGAGGTATGGAAGCACGGCCATTTGAGGCTATATAAATCAACTATGAGGAATGGACATACAGACCAAAACTGACATGTTGTAATAACGATTAATGGCTTGATAACTTTTGCCTAGATCTAACTAAGGACAGCACAGCCTAAGGCTAAGGTTCAAAATTGAAACAGTGGCTCGTCTCACGAGCTTCATGGATTGATGCGTAATAACATACATGCGAAAAACTAGATCCTCTAACAACATGCAGAGCTAGACAGTTCACAGACTCGTGTTCAGTCGTTCCAAACGTGAGGTAATCGCGTCGATAACAGCGGATCTGGAAGAAGGATGGTTAGTTATTGATTCATTGACAGGTAAATAGCAGAATGAACTCACTCTCGTTCGACCATTCTCATCGCATCTGCAACCTTGGCCCGTTGCAGTCGTTGGGGCACCTTAGGCTGGCCCCCAGGAGAGGACGGAGCTCCAAGTTCTGGAGAAGGCATTTTGCCTGTGACAGACTTGGTTTGGGCCATAAGGTCCAGAGCAAGGCGTTTGACCTAGATAATATGTGAGTATTTCTAGCAGGCCGAATGTGAGAAAGACAAAACTTACAGTCTCCAACCGTGAGATCAATGGTTGATCCTCCTCTTGCTCTTCACCCTGTTGCAAGGATGCAGACAATGCCTTCACCTCGGTTATCCAAGCCTTCTCTCTTTCGCTCAGAGGGCGACCTCCAGAATTCAGGACCTTCGTGCGTAGTGCCTCATATCGTCGGTTCAGTTCACTTTGCTTATTCTGGGCAGCTTGTAATCTCTTATCCAGCGCGTCTCCATTTCGGACACCCTCCTTGCGATGTCCGTCTTCCCCAATCTGACTCGTGACACCCTTGACACGCTCTGCAACATCCGCAAGCTGCTTCAATTGGTCTTGCATCTCGCCCTGCAGCCGCTCACAGCGGCGGAATAAATCTGAAGCCGCTCGCTCAAGAGCATTTGTATGGGCAGATAGCACGCGATGTGCAGTGGCCACAAGGTCTAATGTCGCAGGCGACAGGCGCACTTGCTCTTTGAGCGTATGGCGTTGCCGATGCGGGACGTGCTTCTCGACAAAGGAGTCCAACGGAGAGTTGGCGTAGAAAATGGCGGGAACTTGGTACGGAGCCCGGTTCGGGGGCAAAATAGGCAAACCTGATGCTGGCGCCCTGGAATCGTACAGTGATTTGTCCAGTGCCACGGACAGAGAATCTTCTGGTGTATCCATTACAGCTGCATAAGGGTTAGATGGATGATAGGTGAGGAGCAGGTACCCAAGGTCGAAGTCATAGAAAACAAGAGAGGTGGCCAGATGTTCATTCTGCGCGGTAGTATCGGCATCCGAAACCTGCAAAATCCTCTCTCGGATGGTCACATTCCCGTCACAGAGAACTTGGAGACGGAAAGCGGAACCTGCAGTGTCTTCGGCTTGCAATTCAGCTTCCAGTCTCTGTACCCAGCCGGATAGAGAGAGGAACACCACGTTTGTGGCAGTTGTCACAAAGAAAGAGTATCGAGAATGAATATCCTTGGTGAAAGTAGGCCATGTACTTGTTTTCTCTCCATCCTTGATTGTATCCAGTGATTCGACCAAGACCAATTCAGTCGGCTCTGAAAGAGGAGTTCGGAACGCGTTCTTTCTAGCTTTGGGTAGCCATTGTCCTTCAACGCCATCGAGCTCTAGACAGATGTGGACTCGGCCATTCCCACTAGTAAGAGAGAGAACCGTTGCTGAAAGCTTCTCTTGGTCTGCGGCTTCCACGGCTAATTCTTCTTCCTCGCCCATCATGAGATCATCGACGTTTAGACTGGCAGCAATGACAAGTAGATCGCAGAGATCCAAATCATCGATCTCATCGCCATTGTCGAAGCGGAAAGGCCCTTGTAATCTTGGGATGGCGCTAGGATTGGTCGGGCGAGTGAACACATCAGCGCCTTGGATTGTTTCGGATCCAGAAGGCGCACCCAGAGGCTCTTGTTCGTCAAGCTCGGAAAGCCAGTCATACTGTTGCCGGCAGGCAATCAGCTCCTCCTCCGATTCCTCCGGTTCCTGTTCCAGGGCACCGAGTTTGGGAATAATCGCTGCAGAAAGAGAAGGAATGGTCGTAGAAGGGGCTTGCCACTTGGAAGGCAGGAGAGGACAAAGCGCATAGAGATCACCGGGTCTCATCGCCACCCACAGGGTCATAGGTGCCCATGCATCTTCTTTCTCGCTGCCATTGCCAGCGAAACAGGCCGACGCAACCTCCATGTCAATGACATCAGCAGAGAATCCCTTGTTTTTGCCAAATCCAGAAGGCGCAAAGTCCTGGTCGGATGAGGTCCCATCGACGAGCTTCTTCAGATCGATTGCTAGGGTCGGCTGGTCGAAGGACCAGTGGTTATTCCGGTCCAACTCCCAAACACGCACCGCAGCATCAGCTGTGATTGTAACAATGCAGCCCCCTAGATTGGTGTGCAATCCCAGTGGATGCCATAGTGCCGAGACCACCGGAGCCTCAGGAATAACATGGGTTGTCGGTCCTAACTGATATGTCTTCAGCCGTATAGAGTCGCAGTCGGAGGACGAAAGGTGTGAAGAATCGGGGAGAACGGAGATATGAACAGTGTGTTCAGTGACGATGGCAAGGAAGGCGCCATTCGGGGAGGGGATGATCTGTTTGATCAGTCCGTACACAGGCACTGCTAAAACCTGCGGAACCGTTAGTCGCAATTCAATTTAACCCAAGCTTGATTCCCTTGGGTGTACTAGATATTCATACCCTGTAGGGAGGGGGCTGAGTGTTGTCGGTTTGCTCTTCAGCTTGACTAGCCGATCCCTTCTTCTGCTTAATCTCTTGTTGCCATTGGTCTTTGAGTCGGGCAAGGTTTGACCACCGTATCTCATTGTCCACAACGGCGAATACCTCATTCCCCCTCTTAGCGATTGTTCGCGTAGCTCCATTGGTCACAGGCTTGGATTTAGTTTGCAGGTCCTCCGCTGGACTTTGGGCTGAACTGCTGGACAGGAACTTTGCGCCAGGCGAGGGCCGGCACAGCCAGGCAGGCGCATAACTGTTGACCTTCGGCATTAAGGATGATTCGTAAATTGTATTGTATAATCGAAAGGTGTTAAGAGTTTCAGACCATCCTGGGGCGGTCGGAAATAGCAGACGAGTTGCGCGGGTGAAAAAACAAAGTAGACGAAAGCAAAGTTGTTGATGCGGAGTGGAATTCTTGGGTGCCAAGATCTTTCGAAGAGCTCCGAGCTGCTTTGCTTCCCCAACTACCTTCTGTCAACCACACCCTCCAATTTCAACATTCATCTCAATTCACCATGAGCTTGCTGGCTGTAAATACAGTCGACCGACTGGATCGACCTAGCGCATACTATGTCAGCAAGGTGAGTACTCACCTTGGACTGCCCTTCACCAAGCTGCGTTGAAACCAGTCCGAATGGGTTATAGAGGCTGAACAACTGTATGCAGAATAAGCGACGCAGATTCAACGATCGAGAGGAAGAGGAGCAGCAGCAGGAGAAACCCGACGACAAATTGAAAGACGCGACAACCCTCTACGTGGGAAATCTGTATGCAACCATGCAATAACCTAAACGCAATTTCCGTTACTGACCAATTCAAGCTCCTTTTATACCACCGAAGAACAAATTCACGAACTCTTTGCCAAGTGAGAATGCGCCTTCGGTTCCCTTCGAATTATGATTAACCTCGAATTCTAGGTGTGGTGAGATCAAGCGACTTGTAATGGGCCTCGACCGATTCAACAAGACACCCTGCGGCTTTTGCTTCGTCGAGTATTATACCCACCAGGATGCGCTGGATTGCTTGAAGTATATCGGAGGAACCAAGCTGGATGAGCGGATCATTCGGACAGACCTTGACCCCGGATTTGAGGAAGGACGGCAGTTCGGGTATGTGATCTTTACCAATAGCGGTTACGGGCTAGTAATGACTGACTTTCTCTACAGACGAGGCAAATCGGGCGGTCAAGTGCGTGATGAATACCGCGAAGAATACGATCCGGGCCGTGGTGGATATGGCCGTGCCTATGATGAGCAGCGCCAGCGCGAGGAGGATGAATACGGCGCCGGAAGGTAGGTCAGGACATAATGAAAAAGTACTGGCTTGGCAAAGCAATGGCGTTACTTAATGGGAGGGTGAATCCAATTAGCAGAAACAGGAAATGTCTATTCACCGAATACTCTATCTACAATTTTCTTTTTCCTCCATCGCCTTCTAATGCTGGTGATCTATTGCTTTAACTTGTCTCGTTTCCGCACTGCTGATTGAACTTCGTGCAACCACCAAATGTGGATTCTTGCGTCGCCTGTCAGCTCCGGGTGGAAGCTGGTGCCGAATACATTGCCCTGTCGCACTGCAACAATGTCGCCAACTTCCTGGTCAGGATTGATGTCTCGACCCTCCGTGGCGTGTTGAGCTGCTGGTCCCACTAATGTTGCTAGTACCTCGACGTGCTCTGCCGTTGCCGCTTGCGCCACCAAGTCCCGTGCTTGTCTGGATGGTGCCACGACAACATCGTCCTGTTGAATCTCTTCTGTTTGAATGCCCTCATGGTGGGGAAGAATTTTCTCCACGATAGGGGCTCTAATGAATACTGCTGGGAAGGGAGGCGCGTCTGGACCCAAGAATGGCAGATCCAACGGGCCTTGGAAGCTTTCCGTCTGTCGACCGAAGTGGTTTCGGTTCACTCGCACATCAAGACCACCGATGAGCTCTTGCCCACCCTTCTTGGTCTTGTTGGCAGACTCGGCGAGCAAAATGAGCCCAGCGCATGTACCCCACGTTGGTTTGCGATCCACTCTGCATACCCAACGTATTAGATAGAATTGATATCGGCTGACCGAAGTCACTTACTTTACAAACTCCCGCAGTGGCTCGAGCAGATTTGACCTTGCTGCAACCAAAGACATGGTGGTACTCTCGCCTCCGGGCAAGACCAATCCATCGCATTTTGCTAGTTCTTGTGGCGTTCGTACTTCAATGAAGTGCCATTCCGAGGATGGTGCTTGCTCGGCGGCTTTCTTCAAGAGTTGCACATGCTCAAAGAATGCGCCTTGTAGGGCCAGAACTCCGACGGTGATAGGCATTGTCTCTAAAGATAGTAATTGAGGACTGTCTGACTTCGGATTCTTCTTGATATTGATGACTCTTTTGGAAGCACGTGACTTTGACTTTCCGGCGGGGAACTCACTCTCACGTGATAGCTTCTTATCTCCGTATTTAATCCCACGCGACATCAGATATCAAGAACCGTACCTACAGATGTAGGTATGCCTAGGATGAAGAGGGAAGAGCGACATATGTAAATCTTAGATATATATAGTTGGTCGTACTGCTAGGCACGACCAACCAGGATTTCCCCGCTTATTCCCATGTACCTTCCCAGCATAGTACTTCCACGCACCACGACAGGTGATTGCCTTATCGACACGTGTTGATTGATATATAGTCCGATATGCGGGGCCAATATGGCTTCGATCTGCCAAGGTGGGATGCGGCGCATCTAAAGTTGGCATATATGAGACTGTTGATAACAATGCAATGGTAGACCTCGGATCATCTGGACTTGTGAGTAACTAGCCACAGGGCATCCAGTAATGCACCCACTAACCAATTTCAGACCAAAATGGATCTCAATGAGATCAAACAGAATGACATCTCCAAGGACCAGCCTACATTAGTCCGATGGTATATCGATGTCAGACGTTGGGATGAGAACTTTTTTGACCTTCCTCTTCTCAATACCTTAACTCAGTCTGATCAGGCAGCCGTTAAGAAGTACTATCAAACCTCGGACAAGCGCCTGTCCTTGGCCTCCCAGCTCCTGAAATACTACTACGTTCACCAAGCCACTGGCACTCCTTGGAATAAGATTGAGATCCAGCGTACTCCAATTCCCGAAAATCGCCCATTCTACGATTCAACTCTTGATTTCAATGTAAGCCATCAGGCTGGGCTTACTCTGTTCGCGGGCACGCGTGCCGTAACAGCCCACTCAACCGGTGAAGCCCAAGGTTTGCCTCGCGTGGGCATTGACATTGCCTGTGTTGATGAACCCTCTCGTCGCCGCTCTAATCGTCCCCCGAAGACACTTGCTGACCTGGCAACTTTCGTGGATGTCTTCACTGATGTCCTCTCACCCCGTGAGCTTGCGACTATCAAGAACCCTTACGCGACTCTTCAATTGGCTCGGAATCTTGGTCTCAGGAAGAGTGACCCGAGCAAAGACAACGAGGAAGTTCTGGCTGCCTACGGCGTTCGGCTGTTCTACTCGATTTGGGCCCTCAAGGAGGCTTACTTGAAAATGACCGGAGACGGCCTTTTGGCCACTTGGATAAAGGATCTGGAATTTACAAACGTCATTCCCCCTGAACCCGTTCAGAAACTCGGATCTCCTGGTCGCCCTCTCACTCCTGCCACTCTCATTGCGCCCTCAGTCCAAGATTGGGGTCGGCCTTACTCCGATATCGAAATCTCCATAGGTGGCATCCCCAACTATTTTGTACGCGTCCAGCTCGTCGGCTTCGAGTCCGACTACATTGTCGCCACAGCTGCCTCAGGCCCCAATATCGGAGCTGTTTCGCAGCAGGTGGCCGTGAATGGCAGCGATCACCTGCCCGGGTGCGTCACAGTCCTCGACCCCGAGAACGGACATCAGAACGTCCGTATTGCCCCCATCGCGCTTCGTACCGTGGGCGATCAGGATCCCTGGCACGTGCACTCAGTAATCAGCGACCCCTGGTTGCCCATGCAGGAGGTCGATATTGACATCGATATCCGGCCATGTGCTGAGGGCCGCTGTGATCACACCCAGAAGCTACCAAGTTTCTAAGTCCCCCCTTCCTAGTTTATGACCAGGTGATCATTCCTCTGAGTTACTTGCATGTTGCATTTTCTTATCCCATGTTCCTTTTGAGCGAGCTTTTTGGCCCGATTATTCCCCTTGAGCATATTTCTGTGCATCGTCTTGTTATCATTAGCGAAAATGAAATGCCCCATTTCATTCCATCTCTGCGCCTCTTATTCTGATTACTAGATCCCCTGGTTCCAAGCGTAATTGCTTGTAATTATTTTTCCGGAACGTTAGGTGAGTGCCGATCACATGCTCATCTCCAATAAGCTCTTCAATGAATTTACTTTCGATGTCCCCTTTCAATTACTGAGACATGGGGTCCACGGTCGATCCTGGTAGATAAAGGACAAGGTGCGCGGACAAGTATGGGTAAAGAATCGAAGCCTATTTCTATTCTATGGACCAGTTTAAAACAAGTATATAAAAGTAAGAAAAGCGAGTATCCAACAGTAGCCGGGTCATGTCATGCGTTTGCGCTAAGAATATATACATTTTAAATTGCAAAAGGGGAAGAGGTGGATCAAGAGTCAAAAGTCTGTCCAGAGGTAATGCCAATGTCTAGACTATTGTTGGTCTCCTGAACAGTGAAGGATGGTGTCGGATAGGATCGACGTCTGGGGCCCTCAAAATCGATCTCTTGGGTATCGAAGAAATGGGCAAGAATATACTGCAGTGTTCCAATTGCGGATTGCTTCTTGGTTAGCTGTGGTGTTCGGGTTTGCTCTCTGCTGTTATAGACTTTCAATTTGAATGCCTGATAGTGCACCCAAATAAAAAGAGACATATTGTAAGTGCCGAGCGTGGCCCTATGTGACGAAGCACAATTTTGTTTTGGCACTTAGATTTCGATGGCGCTGGAGACACCGTTGGTGCGAGTGACATCGACCTCCTCCTTCTGCACATGGGACATTGCTGCAAGAGTTTTCAGCATCGAATCCCGCGTCGACTGGGTCAAGCTATCCACATCTTCCGATGTCAAATCCTCAGTCAGGATGGGAGGCAAGACTATTCCAGAATTATTAGCTATGCTTTACACCAATCTTGGCAATTTCTAGTGTGACTCACCTTTAATTTTGATAGCTCCAGCGTTGAACCGCCAAGCACGAGGTGACAGAACGTGCGAATAGTTCTCTGTCACGATCGGCACGATCGGCACACCGGCCTTGACAGCGAGATGGAAAGCACCCTTCTTGAAGGGCAGTAACGTAGGTTCGTCGGAGTAACTCCGGGTTCCCTCGGCGAAAATAAAAACGCTCTGGCGGTGATCGCGCATCTCGGCAGCGGCACCATCAAAAGCCTTGAGGGCTGTCTCCCGGTTGGCACGGTCAATAAACACAGTGCGGGACAGGGACATGAACCAGCCCAGGAAGGGGATATTGCGCAGTGACTTCTTGGCAGTCACACTGCAGTATGGCGGGAATACACTGCCAAGCATCAAAACATCGAGCTCAGTCTGGTGGTTACCAATGAAGACGGCCGGACGGGTGGAGAGGTATTCTTCGCCTTCGACGACCTCAAACGTGACACCGGTTGTAAACCGCATCAGCCACTTAAAGCTGCGGCCTGCTGCCCATTGTGAAACACGGCCGTATCCAACTAACCGCAGACAGATCGAGACGACCACGCCATACGCGGCAGAAACGAGGAGACAGCCATATGAGGCTAGACACCGGGCGAAGAAAGCGGCACGAGGCACTTTTTGGCCAAGTGCAAAGAGGGAGGCTGTCAGCACAACGAATGCGCTAACGCCCGAAGCAACATAAGAGCCGAAGGACATGGTGACGGTTGTTGGGCGATTCAAGAAGAGCTGAGTAAATGCGGTCAGAGTACGGAAATTATACTTCCCGAGAGGAAACGTACTTTTTGCTTTGGTAAATGGGCAACAACCAACCCACTGTAATACGGAGGAATCAAGGAAGAAAAGAGAAATAGCAGATTAAATCCAAGACTGAGCCATGCATGGCTTGTGGGGAAGGGCACATCGGAGTAGAAACGTTGAATTGTTTTTCTGCCATGCCGACTTACCGCCTGGCAAGTGCATATGACGATGTCACCAGGGCACTTGCGGGCACATGTGTATTGTAGAATCAAGCATATTTTAAGGATTTAGCCAATAATAAGAATCACTTTCCTTGAAGATTAATGGAATTATGCATTGCACCATCCTCATGATGCATGCCCAGGGGAAAAATCGTTCAACTAATGTACAGAACACCATCATATGCCAGATGTCTAAACCTGGAAAAGAAAACTCCACAGTGATGCTGTGCAAAGAGGCCCTCAAACGCCGAGTTCATAAGAGAAGGGCCCCGTGGGAACCCCAAGAGAAAGACCTGGGACATCACAGGCCTACGCTATGTCCTCATCCTCCATATCGTCATCGTCTAACGACTCCATTGCGTCCTTGATGTATTGTGCAGCCTGTGTGGGATCACAGTCAGAAAGAACTTAGATGGGGAGGGGAAATTAGAAAAATCAAGACGTACCTTTGGGTCCAAGTTCAAGGCCGCCGTGAAATGCTTGATAGCATTGGCCTTGTCGTGGAGCATTTTGTACAGCTTTCCAAGAAGGTAATGCACATTTGCCTCATCCGGCGCCATATCCTTCAGGACCTTCAATTCTCCCAATGCATACTTGTATTCACGTAGCTTCATCAGTACGCGCGCCTTGCGGAACTTGGCCAATACCGAGTTGGGGGCCAGTGTGGAGGCTCGACCGTAGTGAACCAGGGCTTCTTGGGGATTGTTCATTTTCTCCAATACCAGACCAATGCAGCAAATGAGTACTGCGTTCGTCGGGTTGATACTGGCTGCATTGCGGAAATGCTGCTCAGCGAAGTCAAGCTTGCCCATCTTGTCATACACTGTCCCCAGTCCGTACCAAGCATTGTAATGTCGATTATCCGCATTGATACCATGGCGATAAGCCTCCAACGCCTTGTCGTATTCTTCGTTGGCGACATATTCATGTCCTTGCAGCGTGAAAGCATATGCAAATCCAGGATCAATCATGGTCGCACGCTTGAAGCACTTGAGGGCTTGATCGTGATCCCGTTGGTGAGAGAAAGAGTTACCAATAGCACACCACGCCTGAGGGGATAGGCGATCGGCTTCGAGTAGCTGATGCGCCAAGTAAGCCAGTTCTACATCGCTTTTCAGGTGCCATAAGACAGTCGAATAGATCTCCATATCCTCGGTGCGAGAGGGAGCTAATTTCTGAACCCTGGAGAAATATTTGGCAGCTTCTGTGTAGCTTGCTTGTTCGAAATAGGTCCGTCCAAGTTGAGACAAAACCCAGGGGGTTTCACGCTGCCCTTGGGAGAGAGAATTGAAAGAGCTGATGGCGTCCGTGCACCTGTAACGGCTCAATGAGAAATATCCAGATGCAAGTTTATTGAAAAGTCCCAAAAGCCAATCCAAGGCTTCGAGCTCTTTGGTTTTTTCAGCATTTTTGGGTAATGGAGGGACAGCAGGATGAGATTGCGACAGGCCAGGCCGATTATCTTTACCATCGTTGTCGGGTGTCTCCATGGGTTTTCGATTGCCACTCACGACACGGCCGACAGTGGGCGCACCTACCCGTCCTTTCGTAGGGCCTCCTCTTAACTTCTTCATTTCGCGGCCATCTCTGCCAGTAAGCGTGCTGTTTGAAAGTTTGCTGGTTGTAGGTTTGATCTGGTTGAAAAGGCGAACGCTTCGGCGCTGGGGAGCACCTGGTTCAGTCGGTTGTGACGAAGGAAGGGGGTGGGCGACTTGCCCAGAGACTGTGCGCTTGCGGTCGCCGAATCTCGATATAAGAGAGGGGTCTCTTTCTACAGGAGCACTTGGCTGAGTCTCTGGTTCGGTTCGTGTTTTGTGTCGAGGTCTGATGCCTGTTGGACGCATTCGCGGCGGAGGTTGCCCGGTATGGTCAAGGCTCATAGTTTGGATTGTCCGCGTCTTTCGAGCAGGGGCCAAGGGTGCTTCCCATCCAGCTTCTGGGTCAGTGACTCCATTCGCAATGCGGAAGTCATCAGATCCACTGCTCTGTGCGCCTGGGGTCTCCATTCCGTCGTGGAAGACCGGCTGTGCTACAGCAGCAAAATTGACAGAGCTCCCATTCAGCTTTTCCCAAAGAGCAGAGCTCCCAAATGTGGCGTCAGTCTCGCCACGGGAGGCAGAGACCATAAAAGGGTCGGATTCAGGGTTACCGGGAGGTTGCATGGGGAAGTTCCCTTCTTCGTAAGCCACGTTGTCTGGCGCAGTAGCTGTTTCCTCCGGTGATGAAGATATTATTGCAAGAAGTTCTGGGCTGAGCTGGAAGATATTGGGGACTCGAATATTGACACCTGATATCGTGTTAGAAAAGCCCACCCCAAGAGAAAAAAGCAGGACATACCTGTTTCGCAAAGTCCCAGGAATGCATCCCACATGAAGGGATTCAATTTGAGTGCCTCCACGTAGCAGTCAACCGCTTTGGTCAAATCTTTATGTGCGTGCCAAAGCTTCCCCTGCAGGGAGTAAACGGCTGCAGCGTCGGGCAGGTGCTGTCGCTGAGTTTCACTATGCTTGTCTGTAATATAGTTAGCACGTGAACTTGAAGTTGGAAAAGTTTCCCGGCGCTTACTCCAGTGGTTCTTGGAGACCCAGAGGGGTTTGCTGCGCTCCAGAGCGGTAACGCCGTCCAAGTATTTTCCCAAGTCCAGGCAAGCCTGAGCGAAGACATAGGCACAGCCGGCATGCAGACCGCGCGAGCCCGAAGCCTGGCTGCATTCGAATGCTGCCTTCACTTCTCCGTTGTGTAGATGGCAAAGGGCGAGCAGATATTGGGCTTCAAAGGATCGGGGTTCATAGGCGAGGAGGCGCGCAGCGAGGAAGAGCGCATTGCGAATTAGGTTATTGTCGAGTTGGTAATAGATGAGGTGCCTTAGCTGGCTGGCAACATGCCCGGTGGACAAGGCCATGGTGAGGGGTCGGCGTTATGCGACAGTTCAAGGCAAGGTGGGGATTGTGTAGTGATTATTGGAAGTCGTGATAATAATGCGATTGTGGGGGTCGGTTCGTCAGCGTTACTGTAGCATCAATGTCTGGCGCCTTTGTAATGTCCTCCAAGACGCGGGGAGGAAACAACGACGCGATCGAGTAGGTTGTTGCAGCGCGATCGAATGGTCCATCAACAACCGCAAGACACGGACAGCAGCAAGTCCGATGTCTTGATTAAATGTTCTCAGATGCAGGAGCTATCAACTGCTCTTGGTACGCAGATGTGGAACAATGAGGAATGTAAACCCAAGCCGGAAACCGTAAGCGGATGAAGGGTAGAAAGAAGCGAATATGGAGTACTCTGGTTACGTCATCTGCGGACGCAGGATCAGTCTCTCAGAGTGCCAGGGACATTTCTAAAGAAGCGAAGAACTGCAAGATGGGCTCAAGATGAGATGAACATCGGTCGTTCTTTCTGTTATTTTGGTCTGAAGCGGCCTTTGTCATTTCTGCCGTTTTTTCCGGGCGGTGAGGGTAGTGGAGGGCAACAATCACCTGGATGTGCTATAGCTGTCATATGCATGTCCCCTCTCTTCATCTTTCTCCGTTCAGCTTCAGCTTCGAATTCCGGTCATTTGCCTGTAATTTGAGAGGGAAAAAGCTTGATTAATTCATCTGAGGTTATTTGAATTTGGAAAGGATCATCTTTGGCATCAGATTGCAGATCACTTGGTGATCGCTTTCAATCATGGCTCAGGTATGTAGTGAGGGCGCTTTGATGCTACTAAACTCGGGATTAGCTTGATAATTGTGTGAGAAATTC